AAAAATGCAAATCAAAAGATAGATACCTCCCTCCCCATTGATAACACCAGACATGGCACTGAAGGCCCTTGCTCAATACCATAAAACAGCGGAGCATGTCTTTCCCACGTAGCCATGGTGTAACATTAATGGGTCACCGTTTTGATTTATTACATTAAAATTTTGCTACCAAAGTGGACCTTGATCCACTGGCTTCTGCAAAGCACTTCCAAAGGACTGGGATGCCTTTCACAAGTTTCTTTCGTCTAAAGGCTAATTAATCCAATGTTCAGGTCTACTCTACTGTACAACACTTGAATGATTTAAGTACCAGGGGAGATGGAATAGGCATGGTTTTGGGGGCGGGGGGGAGAGAAGCAAGAGAGGAGCAAAATGCCACATTTCAGATTAGGGGGGGAGGCGAGAAGGAACAAGCCCAGAGAACAGAAAAGGCAAGAGGGCACAATGCTCTAGCCACTTGATCCTTTGGTGGAAAATGCATCATCCATTATGACCAAGGTACCCTGCACAAACAGCAGCATCATGGCAGATGCTGGAGTGATGTCACAGTTCTCTCTATGACAATTGTGAGCAGCCACAGACCTGGTCCCTCCTATATAAGCCGCTGCCTCCAGAGACACGTTTTGTCTCCGTTGCAAGGTCTTTCTAGAGCCCAAGAACAGGCTGGTCAAGACAGTCCAGTCCAGAGCCAATAACCCCCGGACCAATGAGGATAGGAACAATGACTCCACAATCAATGAGTTCAAGACTACAGCCAAGAAGCCCTTCTTTACGATCTGAAGCACTTTCTTCAGGGCACTATCAGAAGGGCAGAGGATTTTCAGGCGACAGAAGATCCACTACAGGCAGGTTGAATTCCCCCGAGCGACACCCCACGGTTTTGCAGAGAACAGGGGCTGTTGTGATCGATACAGGCACAGGATGCTGTAAAGCAGGCTTTGCCGGGCAGCAGAGCCCCAAGTCTGTCCTTGGATCGTGGGTGGGCCGCCCAACAGAGCGGTCATTCAAGTCGCGGGGGGCCGGACCAGACACTTTTGTAGGAGAGAGCGCCCGAACGCAGCCAGATGTTGAAGTTATTGAGCCCGTGAGAAATGGCATCATCGTAGACTGGGAGGCAGCCGAAGTCCTTTGGCGACACATGTTCAATCATGATCTGCAGGTCTGCCCAGAAGACCATGCCCTTTTGATGTCGGACCCACCACTCAGCCCTACTACCAACAGAGAGAAGATGGTTGAGGTGGTGTTTGAGTCTCTGAACTCTCCAGGCATGTACATTGCTTACCACTCCGTCTTGTCCGTTTATGCTCATGGCAAAATAAGTGGCTTGGTGGTAGATAGCGGCTACGCAGTGACCCACGCTGTTCCAGTCCATCAGGGTTACAACTTGCCACATGCCATCGAGAGAATGGATATCGCTGGATCTCACATGACTTCCTTCCTGATGAAGCTTCTCAATGACTCGGGGCACGTGTTTACCGAGAGGCTGACGCACACTGTGGAAGACATCAAGCATAAGTGCTGCTATGTTGCGGCGAACTTTGAGAGGGAATGTCATCTCCCCAAGAAGGACTACGTGGTAGACTTCCAGCTACCAGATGGCCACATCATCAGCCTGGGGAAAGAGCGATTCCAATGCCCAGAAATGCTATTCACCCCCCCCAAGTTGCCTGGGATTTCTTTTGTGGGGATCCATAACATGGCCCAGAGAAGCTTAAGTAAGGTCCCAGAAGAGGCCAGGGGGGACATGTACCAGAACATCTTTCTGTGTGGAGGGTCCTCTCTCTTTAATGGGCTGGAGAAGAGGTTTACTAGTGAGCTTCTTCGGCACTTGCCATCTAACGCCAAGGTTAAAGTCTCTGCCGTGCCCCTGAGGAATTTTTCGGTCTGGACCGGAGGCTCCATCCTGGCTTCCCTGAAGAACTTCCAGGCCTGCTGGATTAAAAAGGAGCAGTACAATGACATTGGGCCATACGTTGTCCATCGGAAGTGCTACTGAAGTAGGGAAAACAGCCGCAGGGAGAACTGCTGTCTCTCCTCCCATAGGATGAAAAGTGCTCGCATCGAACTGAAGTGTATTTGGGATTATTGACTGAGCGATGGACCATAATAAATGATTTTGCCTTACCCTGCCCCTTCCATTCAAGAAGCTTCGAGCACTCAAGGCTAGGATGATTTTCAGAGCAGCCTAAAATGAGTTAGGTGCCCAGACATCACTGAATTGCAGTTGCAAACATGGCAGCGAGGGTAGGGTGGCTCTTTGACACACAGCTTCTGCCACCTCTGCTCTGAAGGGAGGTCCCTCAACAGGGAAAAGGGGAGCTTTGTCTGCAGCCTCTATGATGAGGCTGCCAGTGGAGGCGAGTGCCTATTTTGCTAGGCTGAGACAGCAACTTGTTGTGCACAATAGCTATTGAATGGCTTACTTATTGAGTGGCTTACACCCAATGGAAAGAAGGGGTCATCACCAA